GGAGTGATGCCATGTAGGTCAGTCTATGTGAGTCAGTCTATGTGAGTCAGTCTATGTGAGTCAGTCTATGTGAGTCAGTCTATGTGAGTCAGTTCGTTATAAGACTTCCACTGCATAAATACTCATCCTATATTGGTTGATTCTTGGTTCTGCCCATACTCATTGGAGTATGTAACAGTGTGTGTGTGTGTGTGTGTGTGTGTGTGTGTGTGTGTGTATTCTTGCACATATGGGTGTGGTTGTCTCTCCAACCGATTTGCAGGGTCGGCTCTTCAGCCAAAGGGTGCTGCAGTACATTCGGCTTCGAGCTCTGGCGTTCCAGGGGCACATGTGGGGTGGTCAATTACAAGCTGCCAGTCTGTTTTCGGAATCTCGCATGATGTGATCTCGATCCCAGCATCAGGTCTTGGCAGGCAGCGACGGAATCAGCCATGCCGAATTGTGTGTTCCACTGTCGTTGAAGGTAATTTCACAACAAACCCCACTCAGTTGGAGTGGATATCTTCAAATCCCGGCAGGTTCATAGTCTTCTTCTTCTTCTGTTCTCTCTGGTGTTCAATGCATGCTGCTGAATCCATTTTGGTAAAAGTGAGAAAACTCAGAAAAGTAAAAAAACAACGATGATGCTCCTGTGACTGTGAGCAGCAGGGATGTACATTAGAGGTGGTGCGCAGTCGTAACTTGCAACTCAAATAGAAGATGGGTGGGCGTACTCCACTCGCCTGAAAGTAGTACGTTCTTGCTTACGTTGTGAGGGTGCTGCTCAAGTGGATGGATATGGAGGATAATGGGAGGAAGGATCACTGCAGAGGAGATGTTGCAATTCATGTGTGATGTGCATCAGCTATGAGTTACATTGCTCCTCCATTAGCTGTCCTTTAGGTACTCTTCAACATGAAACGGTTTTCACCTTTCTGCGGTCACAGATGTGGGCCCTAGAGTTCAATCCCCAGACCTCACCTTACCCATGTACAGTATCAAGCTGACCCCCGAGCGTTTGAACCCGCGACCTGTGTTTCGGTAGTTGTTTGTTTGTCTGTCGTAGGCCTGTGTAGATGTAGGGGTTCGATCTGTAGGTCTGTCAAGTAGGGGTCATAGCTGTGTAGAGGTTGAAACTGCTAGGCTAGAGGTCTGTAGGTGAGTCGCAGGCCCAACTGCGTTGAGTCGGCAGTGCAACCTCACGCAGTCAAGGTCGTAGCTGCTACAGTCCTGAAAGGTCAAGGTCGTAGCTGCTACCGTCCCGAAAGGCCATGTCCACAGACTTCCGGAAGGTCCGGAAGTGGCCTTTCGAGAATTCTCACGTCTAGTCAGAGGCAAGTGGGCAAGTGGTGAGTCCAACTTCGCTTAGTCAGCGGCACCCAGTCCCAGTCTCACTTTGCACAGTCAGCAAGTACCATGAGGGACTGTGTGCACCTTGGGCTGGTGGAAAGGGGCAGACCAGCGGCAAACAGAAGTATAAATCAAGAGCAGCGTCCAGCAATTCATTCATTCACTGCGTAAGCCATGCGGAAGCGCTGCTACAGCGTCTTGTGCGAAGGTGGTCTGCAGGTTGCCCGAAGTCGAAGTGGGCTGAAGAGCGAGATCGTAGCCATAGTCAGTAGTGGTAGAGCGGCTATAGCCGCGATAGGAAGAAGATAGGTTTAGTGTGTGTATGTGGTTGTATTCAGGGCGATCCAGAGTTGAGTATGTGCGAAGGGTGGTTTTGGACACAGTGACGAGAGTTGAGTGTGCACGCGCTGATGCGCCATAGCTTGCTGAAGCGAGTTTGCATCTGAACTGTGTTCTCGGTTGTCATATCTCTGAGCTTTGAGTGGGCGCTGTGCGCCAGTGTGAATCGCTATCTGTTTGCATGCATGCGAAGTGGAAAGGAAAGCGAGTCTGATTGCGAACAGTTGCCCTTGTCACAATTGTTTGTCTGTCACTGTAGGTGCTCTTAGTGAGTGGTTTTATGTAACCGCTAGTGGCAGTGTCTGTGTGTCTGTGTATGTGGGTGTTTGCAGGGATATATGTATATATGTATATACACAGAGATATATATATATATATATATA